GAGGTTCCAAGCACACGCCTCATAGTCTTTCCATGCTAATGAGAGATGACGTGCACTCACTTTCTCCCAAAACTTACGGTTAACATATCTGGCCATTTCACCGACAGAGTTTAAGCATCAATTGCCGTACCCAAGATCGAATTGGACTCCTGGCGCATAATCCTTCCAATGAAAGCTTATCATCGACAGTCCTCACTAGGCCGACGTAGGGAAACTTATACAGGGACGTATTTGATCCGTTTCAGCCCAATCTAATATTTGCTCATGCCAATAGAGCGATTTGTCGGGTATATGAACGCTTACCTAAACCTGTTAAGCATAGTCTAGGGGATCGCTCATTTCCTCTGAGATGGTACATTATCTATCAAATAGCGAGGTGACTTATTAAAGCAGCCTATAAAAAATAAAGGATTTGTGCAGTCAAAGGACATTTGCTGTTAAAATTGACTGCCTTTTTGAACCAAAAAGCACTCGATGTTTTGCACCTCTTCTCAGTCTCCATTATTTATCATATCTTTCTTTTTGTTATAGAATTATTTGGGCGCTACTCATCCGGCAGCTTGTGGCATGCACAAAGTATCTTGGTCCACTACTCTGAAGATCTACCCAGTACAGTCGGCCAACGTTCGTCTGACTTTCGATGAACACGTAAAGGCACACCTGAATAAATACATTGCCGATCTTAATGGTCTTCTGCTGAAGGTAGATAAATCCTCGTTACGACTGGTACCACCGGCTGATCTGAGCGGAGAATACTACTGCAGCAAGGATGGTCGCACTTGCCTGACACGTCTTCCCCCAGAGCTGCCATGTGCCCTAGTGCGAGCCGAGGCATTAGCTACTGTCTTCCGGCCGAGAATCGGTCTGCGTCTAGAGGCCACGGTCAATCTATCAAAACGGCATTTTCTTACTTGCCGTTACGACTGTGGTGATGGACCAATCAGTGTTACCGTGCCCAGACCGGCTGACGGTAAGGGAGAATTCATTGACGAAGGAGGTGCTAAGTTGGCGGTCCATCCTGGAGACAAGGTGACGCTTGAAGTTGTGCAGATTGTTCATGCAGCAGGGAGCCTTATAATTAAAGGTAAACTTCTAAATGTTTTGGAACATGGCTCGGCGTTGGTTGGCGGTAAACGAAAGAATCTTACTGACAGCGAGGAAGCGGCGGTAACAGAAGCAGAAACTGTGACGCCACTCAAGAAGAAAAAGAAGAAGAAGAGACTGACTCCACTCTCCGATGATCAACACCCCGAAAAAACTTCCCCAGATGACGAAGAAGAGGCGAATAAAAATAATGTTCAGACGACATATGAAACGTTACCTGAACTGCCAACCATCGTGACTTGTGAAAAGAAGAAGAATAAAAAGAAAAACAAGCTTCAGTCCGATTTGGCGGATCGCCAGCAGCAACCGGGGCAGCGGGAAAAAGAAGAAGAAGAAGAGTCTGACATTTTACGAGAAACTCCGGTTAAAGTTGAACCTGTTACCGACACAGAAACAACATCCCCAAGTCTTTTGAATAATTCGCACCAAAAACACTGCCACCGCAATGTTACGGGTGTAGCACTTAAAGCATTACCGGACGACTGCACAGGCGAAGGAGAGAACAGAACTAGTGCTGAACCTAGGTCCACTTACCCGGAGGCAATTACAGTTAAACAGGAACCAGGAATTACTAGCGCCCAAGAACACAAGCCCAGCGAGCGTGACCGGAGTCCGGACCTCCTCTCAGATTCGGAGGACTCCTACCCAGACAACCCTAAGTCAGAAGGCTTGTAGCTGGCTGCCAATGCATTTTGTAATGTTTTCTATTTACATTCCTTCACCACTACAAGCTGTATATACATCAATGAGTACATATTCTTGGGAGTCGAACCAATTTCTGAAATTTTCGTATTTGGTTAGGAAACCATCGGACAGTCGATAGATCCTCTGCGCTTCTTTGGACAACTGCAGTTGAATTTATGTTATTGTAGGCTCCGATTATGAACTAAAGTATTTTCTCGTCAATAGACAATTTGAAGTGAATTTGACTTGCCACCAAATGAATGTGTGGCAGTGTTTTGCTTCTGCTCTCTAGTGTAGTTTAAATTTGTAAGGATGTAACACAAAGTCAAGGAATTCGTACTGTTTAAGTCGTCGCTGTTAAAGTCTGTTTTTTTCGTAAGCGGCTGGAAGGACGCGCATCAAAAAGTCGACATTAAACATCAAGTGAAATAAGAAAAGATGCGATCGCTAGAATAATAAGTTTTTTAGTCTGACGTTTTGGATTCTCACTCAAACCCATCATCAGAAGAAGTCGCAGCTAGGGATAATAGAGTCAACAGGTGCGCAGTATTTATAGTCCGTGTTGGACACGCGATCGCTTGCGCAATATGCGGCAGATCATCGCACATGCTGGTGGACTGCAGGCCTGAGAACCATGACTCGAGTGGCTTGCGGTTACCAGTTCTTGCATGGACTCCGGCCTCATGAAACTTTGAAATATAGTTGGGTTCGGTCGATGGAGTTGAAGCCTGGGAGCAAGTGTCTTTCCCGTTCACCGCGCCCAGACTAATCCACCAGATCCTCCAACGTAGTTGCTTTGTTCACAACTGTATCAGACAGACCCCAGATGATTCCTGCCGTGGCAGTGGGTCTTTCAACCTTATTACCTGGCGGAGGAACCTGATAATTACCCTGGACGCGAATGGCCAAACATGCAACAGCGGCAAGGAGGGAAAATTGTAGCGGTGGTGGTGATGGTGCACCATTTGGGGTTAAGTATGACTGACTGCTGACGGCTATTGAGCCAGAAATGGCCGTTCTAGTCCCTCCAGTCTTTGCCGGCAATGTGCAATACGCTAGTTTTCAGAGTGCAGTTCACTCGACGGGGCTCGTCCCTATTTTCACGGTGGTTGAGAGCATATTGTATACGCTGCCCTATCTATGTACATCACTACTACCATGTGTGGTGTGGATTCAGTGGTTTTGCAGCCCAAATTGATTGTCTTTGAGTCAACTGCTCATGAATATTTTGCCGCAGTTCCCAAGAAACCGTGCTCATGACAACTAACTACATGTCGTTTTCTAGCTTATTTCTGGACAATATCTGCAAGAGATATAGGAGTCTGCGGGGCAATTTATGTGAGACAGCGAGGAGCCCATGCACTGACATTTGCAGCGGAAACATCGTTGGAATGCGTGTCTGTCTTTATAATATATTGGATAAGTTGTTCTTTTCATGGGCAACCCCTCAGCTGTTGAAAGTGGTACGTTTTTAGTGGATTAGACATCGGACAACTGTTCAGGCGAGGCTAATTATCACGGATTCCCCTGATCATTCAAAGTTCACCACTGACACTGAAGAATAATATACCAGGCAACTGGCTTACCATTGCCAGGTGTATTTTTTTCACACTCATATCTGCGGTTGATGTGACAATTCGGTCATCGCACGCGAAGCTGTTCACCAGTGGAATTGCAGTATGGTGGGTGCACGAGGGTGACTTGCGCATA